CCTCCTATATATACCAGTCTACCCTATATCTAGTAATCTCCCGACAATTCACGAAGGTTCGAGAGAAGGAGTGTTGTGATATAGTCACGTGACCTCGCTGACGCAACAATATTAATGCCAATTCTTTTCCTTACTTTAGAACACATCAACCTTCCGGCCTCTAGTCATTGAAGGTTAAAAGGATAAAGTGCTTTTATCACCACTTGCATTTTACCAGAAATTAAAAGAAAAAACACAATATTTTATGTTCATGCAAGAGAATAATAACTGAACTTTACTTTATCAAGGAATTAAAAAAAAAGAAAAGAAAAAACATCGACCGTATTATAGAATAACCCTAAAACTAATCCGAAAGTATGAAAACGCAACGACCTACGAAGTATGAAGCGTTCATTTCCTAACTGGAACTATTTTTTTTTTTTAATTACTTCAGTAGCAGGATATCAATAAAATTACTTAATGTACACCACCCTTCAATGCAGCATAAATATATTTCTAGAGCTTTGTAAATCTTTTTTTTTAAATGCCACGTTAAGACAACGATGAAAGTTAGTTTGAAAAAAAAGCGGATAACTTTGAATATTTTTCTTTAGTTATATTTTATGAAACAGGAAACTTTGTGTCTTATTCATGGACTTCAAATTTCTACATAAGCCATGAAACTTTTTAAGAGATTCTTGGAATTCTAAATCTATGAGTGCATTCATTTTTATGAACTTTACAACCATTTCGCAAAAACGTGCTCCACGCTTGATTTATATTTTATGAATTCGTCAGCCATTTCAAGTCTATCTTTGCTACTACCTTAGTGGCTATTGTTTTTAAATGTAATTATTTTTTAGGAAAACTGGAAACATTTCAGGATAAAAATAGATACTAAAATGTAATAACGTATTATATATTTATTGAGTGTGTGTTTTAAATTAATCGTAATTTATACGTGAGCTGAAGTCAGTCCGATTTTTTTACTTGAGTATACAAGGACTTCGTAACACTTTTAGTTTGTTTATATATTCATGATGTTAGAAAAACACGTAGGCTGAAGTAGTCTTGATAGAAATGAATAACCTATAACCCTAGCCTTTCGAAAGGTGGGCCTTTCTTCTTCAGGGACAAACTGGAAATGATAGTGTAATCGAATGAGATATATATATATATATAAATGGAGTTTAGTGACGTCATGAAGGTCATCCGGTTTTCCAGGAAGTGTTTAGTCTATTTCTCTGTGTGCCGTTGTAAGCATTTCATTTCCGGTTAAGTGTAGCCAATGGCTATGTGTATTTTTTCAATTCTTACAATAAAAGCGTATAAGAATATTAGCAGATGACTATGATTATCTTAGTATATAAGCCCACTGTAAATAAAAAAAAGAATACATCATGTCAATCTCATAAGTGTAAATGGATAAAAGTGAACCTTTTTTCACTCTAAATTTTCTGGTGGAGTATGCTCCACCCCCAGGGGAAGCTACTCACTGTTGCAGTGCCTCCACAAAAAGTTTCCCGATTTGGCACTTCTCAGTGTTGACAGGTATGCAAAGGCATATCACAAACACTATGTATAGTTCTCTTCTTGTTGTCAAAAGTCCACTTAGGCCTACTCAATTGCTTTAGAATTTCAGTTCACAAGCCGAACTACTTTTCTCTATTTCTATCGCACTAGTATTCCGTGTATAATACACTTACAATTATAGCGTGAATTACCACAGTCGTATACTTCTCTTCCAGTAATCGTCTGATCCTCGTACTTCATATATCGTCTATTCCTTTTGTCAAAGTGCACTCAGACTGATTCAATTACTTTAGAGTTCGCTTTGACGGAATAAACTATACTTCTTATCTCTTTCAAAACTGTTAGTTTTCTTTTAACATATTAATCGTTAGGTTTTTCACTCCTACAGCAGTTAACTTTACGTTTAACTTTCCATGGCCGAACTTCTACTTCCCGTGACTTTACTTTCTCGTCTGCTCTGTCTGTCTACTGTTCTCGCTCGTCTCACACTATTTATATATTTATCACTTTATCGTCTACTCGCACTCTAGAAATTTCTATATCCTCGAAATCAATCAATTTCATGCGACGTTCGATAGTCTCAACATCAATGAATTGTAAACACAACTTCCAATAATCGTCTACTTATAACTCTCTAATTATGAAACAACGAAAGAATCGTGAAATATTAACTAACAAAATAAATTAATTAATACTATCTAGACTAAACAGTCTTTTATATTGTTGCGTATCTGCTCGGTTGTTAATTTCCGGTATAAATTCTTTCCGAGGAACTTCAGCGATACAAGTCCTTTCTTAATTGAAACTAATTTATTCTTTCTCGAGACAACTTTGTAATACACAGAATTTCTACAGTCACTTTAAACTTAACAACCTTTATAACACACGCTATAAATCACAGTGGTACACATACTTTACTTACGGTGCCTACTATTCGCTACTATTCTATCTCTTTAACCTATCTGCATATTTATCTCTCTATCGCTGGCTTTATTTGCCGGGCTTATATACTAAAAAAGAGGGCGCCTGGCAAACACTCGGACATTCGCGGGGTTCGTCGATAAGTCAATATCCTTCTAGAAACTCCAGCGCGCATGCTCCCAGCGTTGCGAGACTTCCTCTGTCGTAACAATATCATGACAAACTCAATGCTTTTCCTAAGGTAAGGAGCCCAAGACTGAACACAGTATTCCAAACGTGGCCAAACAAGTAACCTATACAATGAAATTATAGTCTCTTTAGACTTGTATACAATATTTCTGTAGGTACAACCTAATATTCTATTTGCCCCACCATAGCAACAGCACACTGTTTGGATGGCTTAATTTCCCATTTAATATATGACGTTTCTACAACGTTGCTGAATAGTTGTGCGTTGGTAGAATTGACTACGTTATGCATTATATGTTGTGACAACGTTGTAGCACTGTTAGATGTTAATGGTGAATATATATATATATTGATGCATTTTACTATTGCACAACTATTCAGCAACGTTGTAGAAACGTCATGTGTTAGCTGGGAAGAGACTGATCAACCATTACACCAAGATTCCTTTCTGTCATGACACTGTTAAGGTTATTCCCATCCAATTTATACTTATAATTCAAATTGTGATAACCCACATCCATTATCTTGCATTTATTATAAATAAAACCCATTTGCCCAACTCACTAAATGATCTAAATACTTTTGTAAATCAACAGCATCCTCTTCACAGCTAGTGACACCCAAGACCTTAATATCATCTGCAAATTTAAATAATATATTGACCATTCTTTCATCTATATCACCAATGTAAATCAAAAAGAATAAGGGTCCTAAGACTGAGCCCTGAGGTACACCACTTGTGACATTAATCCAGTTTGACTGAACTCCATTTGTAGTATAGCTGTTATATTTAATTTTTACTTTAATTAAAGTTCCAATTTTTTAGATCAAGACTATCGAAATCAACTGTTCCTTTATTATTTTACGAATTATCTTTCAGTAGCTATTTTTCAATGTTACCAAGCTTGGCTTCTCTGAAAAGTAAGGTGCCGCTGTTCTGTATTTTCTCAAAATATTTTTAATAATTGTTTATTCAAAACATGTACATATACTAAAATAAACATTTTTCGATATTAAATGAAGACTCGACTCCCTCGTGGATCTTTGTTTTCATCATTCATTGATCAGAAATTAGCTTTGTTTGCGTATATGATTCAAATGGCGCTGTAATCGAGCTAATGTTTGTTAATATTAAATTTAACCTATTTGACGCAACTGTGACGAAAATAAGTCGTGAAAAAGTAGGTTGATTTTTGCTGTTTGGATATACGATTGATCTAATTTAAATTGTTGACACAGCATGTTGAAATTGGAATAAATAAGTAACATATAGAGTTAAATTTTACTTTAGTAACTTTATAGCCTTCTTACCAAGTTAATGAAAGTACTTAAATTGAAGTGAAATGATTTTCATGATTTTACTAGTAATGCTGATTTAATTTTAAAGCCTAAGGCCACATTTGAACCCTCGGGATGTCATTGGTGAGTGCTGGTAGCAGTAGGCTTATTAAGTTATTGGTATTACCTGTTCTAGTGCCGAGTGTCGCAGAATGCTGTACTAACTCAGTGTAATTTTTAGGTTACAGTCTTAACTTTTACTTGGGCTGATCAGAAGGATTGATTAACGGAAAATAGGGCAGATTTTGTTTTGTATGTGTGAGGTAGATGTATATTGCAATTTGCATCAGGTTAAAATACAGTTAAGACCAAGAGGAGGCTTAACAGTAACACTTGGTAGTATGCGAGTCTACTGTCCAGCGAATTTGATATTTTTAATGTTCGTATGTAATGTCTAATGCTAAGTAAAAGTAATACTGTTACTATTAGCAATAACTATATCTCAATATGTATGTATTTATTTCGACTTTTGAGTGTGGTATAAACTCAAGATATCTAATATGTTTTTTAACAAAAATTTTTATGATCGTTTGTCAGTTATTTAACTATGCTTTCAAAGTTCAACTTCAAATCTTTATGTTTGTGAAATGACGTAATTGATGCAGTTGGATTGGAAAGGTACAGGCAAGTATTATTTGTTATGTATTGTTGACATTGTCCATATTTATAACAATTATTGCTATTACCTCAATAAATTTTAAAAGTGGATGAAAACAGGTATTGAGAGTGTAGGGTACAATGAAAGAATTGCATTTGTTAAATAGTAAAAGAATTATAAACTTAAGAATTACATGTGTATATTTCTGTAGCACATTTGTGTTTGAAGTTTTACTGATTTAGTGTGTGTAACACTAATTTTAGAGTCACTTATAAGTTTCCATGAGTTCTTAGATACAATTCATTTGTTCATAACATTTACAGTTACTAATGCCACACCAGGTAAAAATTTATCATTTTAGATACCATCATTCATATTAAAGATGGGAAAATCATTACTGGTATTTTTAGCAAGCCATCCACCAAAGCCTTTTGTTTGTATTTCCACTTGCATCATTTCCCTGCAGTAAAAAAAAAAAGTAGTCATTGGTTATCTCCATAGAATTGATAAATTTTGTAATAAAGAAGAAGTACAGAAGGACACTAGAGAAAATTTGACTGTATTAAGAAAAAATGCTTACCCATAGGAATGTGTACAAAGGCAAAAACAAAATGGTCATATTCCTTTGAACAGTAGGAATAAGGAACACACATTTAAACCACTGGTTACTAGGGTGGTATTATATGTACAAGTAATTTCATCACAAAACTGAAGAGAATGATGAGAACATAACTTACTTATTAAAATAGTACAAAAACCAGGCATCTACCTTACAAATCATTAATAACAAGTTCAACATACAAGAAAGAATCATGATGTGTGAAAAATAACTGTATGGCCACTAAATATGGACAACATAATTGTTGCTTTTGTAAGAATGTTGTTTATGAAGTAACTTGTGGCAGATGCTCTGTTAGTATGTATATTGGAGAAACATGCTAACCCATACATGATAGAATATCTGAATACGTATGTGACATTCAAAACCTCAATACTAACAATTCTATTGCTTAGCATTATAGGAAAAACATGGGATACCACAAGCAGATAACATCTTATATGGTGTCAAGATTTTATTTAAATATCATAGTTTTCTCAACCAAAAGATTACAAAAATTATTTTTTTCAAGAAAAACAAATGAAAGATGAACAAATATGGAAGTTGGTCTGTAGTATAGAGCTGATTATTGCAGTTTTAAGATTAGCTCCTGGTAAAGCTGTAATAGCAAAATATTAAGCCAATAAAGGTACATCCTGGAGCTGTAGATCATTATATACATTAATAGAAATGTTTCATAATAAACTCCAATTTGCATTAAAACAGTGGCTAAGCAGTAAGTCTCTGGACTTATCACACTACAAATACAGTTTCGATACCCGTGGTAGGCATAGCACAAATAGCCCATTGTACAGCTTTGTGCTTAACAACAACCAAAGTGATTAACTGATGGCTCCATTAGTTGATTAATACAGTGTTCCTTGAACCATGTTACCAACAAACAAACAAAAAATTTGTCAGTAGCTGCTTTCAGTACTTGCCTTCCCTATGGTCAGCAGTTCAAAATTAGTGACAGTGGCAGATAGCCATAGTAGCTTTGCCATAATAATAACAGCAAGAAAGTTTAGTGGTAATATTTCAAATACTTGAATAGTCAAAAAATGATAATAATAAGAAACCATAATTATGATTAGTTGATTTATTTTTTTGACAATCGATTTAATCATAATTTTGATTAATTGATTATTGGAATGATCTATAACAGTACTAACCAAAACAGTAATTTTAATTAATTGGTAAAATTACTCAGCTTTATTACACTGTATGCATAGATAATTTGCTTATTATATTATTTTGTTGATCACAATATAAGGAAAGTTAAAAAATTAGTTTTAATTCTACCAATTGTTTCATAATTTAAATGATAAAATAATTTGTTGGTCTATCTAAAATGAATACACTTGAAAAATATTTTGACAAATTTATTTTACAGTGTATTTTGCGAATGTAGAAAATATATAAATTTTGAAAGTGGTTTCAGTTGTCATATAACCTTTTGTTTTTATAGCTTATTCATCCAAATATGTGAATTAGAAAAAAATCTACAAAAAATGATTTTGAAGATAAACTAGATTGGATCAATAAGAATAAATTCTGTGTAAGCTACAACAGAAGGTCTTCACTAAGCGTATTGAAAATTATGGGCAGCTGATCAGTATTTTTTCATAGTTTTAAATATATTTTGTTGAATGCATAAATTTCTCAGGACTAATTCAATAAAGTTTGGTTTTACCAAAACCTGACAGTGAAAATTCTTCACTATTTTATTTGTTATTTATTTGAATATTATTATACTGAAAGTAGATAAACATTCTGGCTTATCTCATGATTGATAGATGAGGATAGTAGACTAGATAAGACAAAGTGTTTTTTTATCAAATTCTTGAAGTTAAATGTATTAACAGAACATATGATATTGCAGAGTCTCAAGAAGTAACATTACATGTTTGAGAATGTTTTTGTTGATAGACTATATAGCACAATTATATATTTTAATTGTATCTCTTTGATACAAGTTACACATTTTGCATTACATATATTAAATATATTTGTTCATTATAATCCAATGTTTTTGCAAGTCATGAAGTATTAAGTTTTTGTAAGTTCACTGCAATTTAAGGTTGCACAAGAACAGTATGTGGACTCAGCAATTGGCTTTTATTTATGTCTTTAAAATTTAACCGTCTTCTTTCAAACTCATACTGTTGTGTTTTTTCATATTGACTTTATGAATACACCAGTTCTTCCTAACTAGTTATACACCATACATGATGAATAATTCTAAGAAGTAACAGGATGACAGGTTTAGTGTGGGTGCTGTGATGTAGCCAAGTTGTAGTAGCTATTCTCACCTGGTATCATGTCGTTATTCTTCTCATTCACTTGAACCTCTCAAGAAAGTCTCATCAATAAAACAGCAGGAGATTTACTGGGTTGTTGAGCTAATATATCTTACAGACAAGCAAACATGGCAGACATTTTGCAGAATAAAAGTTACTGAAGTGGGAAAGATTGTTGTTCACCACAGAAAAAAAAAATACATGTATAACCAAATCTTTCCAAAAAAATTCTGTAAACTAATAATTGTTGTTCAAAATACTCAACTTTCATGTTTATTTAATGCATGTAACCTTGTAGACAATGACATATATCAAAACCATCTTTACAGTTGTCAGTACATTGATAAAGCAGTGCAACATAATAAGCAATACGAATGTAAACTTGGCAAACTCTTATGCTCATATTTCATAACTGTTTTAATACTTCCCCTGTTGAGTGCTCAAGCTAAACAAAATTTTAACAAGCCCGGCTTGCAATTTTATGAGTGTGTGTGTGTGGTTGTACCAGGATACATAATTTTTGGAACTTATGTATTAAAACAATTTTGAAGACCTAGTAAAAGCTGCTGTAAAAAAACTTCTTGACTAATTTGATTCCTATTGGAAAGTTTTGTATTATTTAACTGATCAGATATTGACATCTTGAGATTGATTAGATAAATGGTGCAAAGCTTAGTACATTTGTGTATTTTATGTGTTATAGGAAGACTGTAAAAATAATTAATTTTGACTATCAAGTACACAACATGTACTTATAAAGTGTACAGTACCATTATTGTTGTGAAGGTTATGGAAGATAGAGGATTAATAAGTCATACAATTAAACATTTAAATCAAGCAAGTGTGCACATGTAGTTCTGTCCTGTGATAACTTAGAACAATGACATAGTTGTAGACATCAAATGGACTTGTAACATAAGATATTTAAATAACTGTGAACAGAAAAACATTACCCAAAATTCTAAGTTTGGAAAATATTTTATATCATATATCACAAAGGTCAAACTTTTGAGAAACATAAAAACAAATTGTGAAGCTTAATTAAGTACTGCGTGTAGCTTTGATCTCGTTATAGAAAGAATAAAAACATGGTGAAAGAGTGCAGAAGTTTCTAGTTTAAAAAATTAAATTATAAAATGAGGTTTAAGAATATGAACACAGTTTTTCAAGAAAATAGAAATTGAGACTAGATTGATACATACAGAATTTCACACTTTCCCAAAAAATACAGATTAGAACAAAATAATGAGCAAATTATAAAATCAATGTTTATTTGGAACAGTGTAATATGAATTGTGTAATTATCAATAACTTCTGATCAAACTGTATTACCTACAAAGATTTGAACTAAACAATTAACTTATTAAATACTGTAACTAATGTATTAGTCTAACTAGGAGTATGCAGTAATGTGAAGCTGAGGATGAAGAGCAGTTGACACTGTTTGTGAAAGTTTAACAGTTGCAAAACCAAGCTGACATTAAACCATGAAATTAGGCAATGCCACTCCTCAAGCTGCAAGATATTTTTTTTTCTCCCAATGTTAATACATATATAAATGTACATATGTATTAACATATATTACATA